GGATCAGTTATACACATACTAGTAGAAGCCAAGCAAGGATACCACTATGCTATTAAATATTAGCTTTACTATTTAATAGAACAAGGTATCCTGTTCAACCCTTTTCTTAACTCTTGCTTTCATTTTTAAAAGGAAAGTAAAACCTTGGTAGAGTTCAGGACCATTTCACCTACTTCAGTTATTGATATGATGCAATTCTATTATCTCCTGCACAGAGAACAAATCAGTTTAACACACAGAAAAGTCAGAGCACATTTTCTCAATATTTTCAACATTAGGATAGAGTTCAATTAGAAGTGAGATTGTGCCAAATACAGCATTTCATTTAGAAGAAGCCTCACTGAGTGCTCAGAGCTTATTTGAGCATTGACTGATACTACCTAACGCCTGAGCAGCTGCATTGGGGGATTCCTCAATTTACTGAACAGCATTTTGTTTAATAAAATGTGTTTTCTATTTGACATTTAAGAATCTCTTTACAGTGTCTAAATTTCAGATTTCAAAATTCAGCATGAGGCTATGACATTTTGGGAGTAGAGTGACCCACATTGGGCCATTACCTCTGCACACACAATGTGTAGATCTTCTGTGGCTGACTTTTAGAACAGGAGGGAATTAAGAAATACTGAATCCTTACAATGAACCAGGGTACATTTACATCCTATTTAAGATCAACCTAGCTTAAGCTGTAGGTTGGCATGACTATTTTAATTTTTGTCAGAGGAAATGGATATTTGGAGATATTAAATGACTTCTCAAGGTCACTTAGGTAGGCATGAAGAAGCTGGGGTTGCTTCCTATATCTGCTCATGTCAAAGTGAGCAGTGTACACATAAGAAAACCTGAAGGCCTGGATTCTAGCCTCGTCAATGAGGTATTTTATTTCTCCGACAAGATCTTTCTCATTATTCAGGTGTTCACAATATATTACCTACTTATGTTAAAAAGTTCTGTGGGGGGAAAATGAGATGATTTATGTAAAACTAATACTTAAAAGCATAGTGGTATCCTTGCTTGGCTTCTATGTGTATTACTGATCCTAAGCCTCCCACACAGGGCCAATATCATAAAATTGTGCCTGAAATATACTGCAGTAGAATTCATGAAGCTGATGGCTGGAGAGATGCTGCATTTCACAGAACTTTCTTCTTTTCAGTTACTATAAAGTTAAGGAAGAACCTGGGAATATCAAATGTTTTTTATTTCCATTTCTTATGCTGCCTGATTTGAGGCAAATGACTTCCCTAAGGATATACGGATGCCAACAGGGCCATAATGAGTAGCTTAGAGGATAGTATTTACAGTATACAGAGCCACATAAGGAAGGATGTGTTCATTTAATTTTAATTTTTTTCATTTTTTGTGGAGTGATGCTTTATGTTGAGCACTTGTGAGATCCTAGCTTATGCCTTAAACTGTCTTTAAATATAAAGGAGAAGCACATTCTGCATACTCTTTCTCCTTTTTAGCAAAACATTCTATTCCATCCTTATTCTTTTATTTTAAAACCCAAAATTATCATATGAGTGAGATCCAGGACTTTTTGACCCTGAAGTTTGCTGGACTCATTTTTCCTGACTGTTACAACAGTTAAAAGTCTATGTTTTCCCTAAGTCTCATAACATCACTTTCACTTTAAGGTATCTGAAATATCCTTTAGCATCTAATGTTTAATTACTCAATAAGTGTAAATACATAATAGTGAATGTCTATACTATTTTCCTTTTTGTCCTTTTATTCTCACTTCCTTTGTTTTCCATGGTTTCTATAGCCTACAATGTGGGATTCATTGCGCATTCTTTCTTTTTCTAAAGTGAGAGTAAGTCAGATCTGTACTCTTTGTACCAAAGGAATGTTGACGAATGATTCAGTTAATTTTGAATTTCATATAAGCAACAAATTATTTCAGTATAAATATGCTCTCTTCAAATATTGTGTATTTATTCTAAAAAATATTTAAAGTTTACCTAAAATTAAAATTTAATTGGGTGGCCTATATTTTTCAATGATAAGTATCTGTGTCCTATTAATAGTCAAACATTCCCCAATCCATGGGATATATACCTTTTTCCTTTTGAGTTTGTTGTGTGCCTGGCTCAGGTGGCTTTTATCCTACTTCACTGATTTCCTTGTAAGGTTATCATTGTTGCTTATTAATTTGGGCTCCTTTGGCTCCTTCTGGGCAAAACTGAAAAAGATGAGAGTAATTTTCTCATTATCTGGAGGCCTGAACTTAGCTAATTATTTTTCATTTTATTCACTTTTCAATTTAATCCTGTATGTGGTATGATTATATGTTTATTTCCTCAAGAATTATTTTTTAAATCATTAATAATGTTCTATACTGACACTCAGAATTAAGACCTCTATCAGTTTTTAATCCTCCTTAGTAAGTTACACTTTGGATAACAGTCTACTCTCCCTTTCACTGATATATTCTGTCTAAATTACTACATGTGTCATTCTGTATTTGAAAAGCAATATGGCTACTATTCTTTAGTTATATTTCTGCTATCTCATCTTGGAAGTGTACAAAATTTGAACTTTACACATGCATCCTTTTGGAAGTTCTATTTTATTTTTTAAATGCCATAGTAGTCTCCCCTTGAGATGTGCAAATTTATATTTACGTAATAGTTGCCCATATAACAGTGTACACCCTACAGAGCCTCTTTCTGGGGGAGAAGCACAACAAAGGCCAGTTAAGAAGTCAAAAATGCCAATAGATTTTTAGCTCATAAATGAAAACCTATAATCTTAGAAATCTACTACAGCAGACCCTTATACATTTACGCTTAGAACCGTAATATAGACGAAACCATAGTGTAGTCTTTGAAAAAAATCTCTCCTCTTCTTTTGTGATTCGAGATCAAGGTCCGCATTGCTGTTTTATGTCCATGGAAGATTCATCCGGTGATTTTAGTATATTTCCTTATATAACTACTTACACTCAAGGCATCTTAACATTAGGTGTAATTTCTAGTGGCAGCTTCTTCTTTGGTTATTGAGCCAATACATTTATATTGTTCTTCACAATAAGCAGAAGCAGCTTCATTTTGTAGGTTTAAAATTTGTATTTTTCAATGGCATTGCATTATTAAGCTAGTGTTGATGCCATTGATGTAACAGGCATAGCATTCTTACACCAAGATATTTAAGGATTATTAAACCAAAAGAAGATAACCTTTATTCTGCAAGAAATAATATAAAACACTTATGTGAAATTACAAAAGAAAAAAAGAGATTTTTTTCAGCATCATCATCTTTTAAAAATGTGTCCTGCATTTAGTTTTTGAAAAGGAAAACCATTCTATTTTGCTCAGTTAAATTGTGGAAAAGCTCTGAGAACCCAGAAAAATCAAATGCAGTCAATAAATGAAAGCTTCAATTGTTAGAGTGCAAGACCTTTTCAGATAAGTATGACCCCCCATAAGAAGTCAACTCTCATAAAACTAATTCAAGCAGTTCATGGTCTTAGATAGAGCCCTGCTTCCAGCAAGGTCAAAGGAAGTTTCCAGTCCTTTGCAGTTTGATGATCATTCTCATCAAAGGTGGGAGCTCTATGTGGGAGACATGCTCAAGGCCCAGTAAGTCCTATGCCTTTAAATACTGAAGAATGTCCTATACTGGAGCTCTTCCCATATTCATTCATGTTCTGCTGTTTATAAAAAGACAGAACTGTATGTTGTTGAGACAAAAGAAAATTAGATAAGAGTGGGATCATAGGAGGAGGAAGTAAAACTGGAAACCCAAGGAGACAGAGTTACTAAGGTACCCCAACTGGGTGGGGAAGGAAGGGTGCGCGGAGAGGCATGGATGTATGAATATTGCTAAGACAGACAACTTGCAGATAACCAATCACAAGGTAGTAAGGCATAGACACCAACCCCAAGGATGTTGCTAAGGCAAAATTCTTTGAAAAGACCAATGAGGAGCAATCAAGGCTGTCTCCATGCTGGGGTCCAACCCCAGCAGATCCAGGGGTCCCCAAAGGTGTGGACGGAGTCGGCGAAGAAGGAATGACACGGAGACAGCTTTCAGTTGATCAGCAGCCTTGCCAGGATCTCTAGCCACAATCTCCAGCCAAGTTCTGTGTCCATGTTCTCTTGCTAGGTTCTCCAGGTTCTCCAGCCAGGTTCTGTAACCATGTTCTC